CTTTTGCAAATATATATATATTAGCCTAGCTCCATTTACTGAAAATAACATCCTTTCTCTGTAGTCGTAATGACTCAGCTACCCATACATGTATGAGTCTGCTTCTGTCTCTCTAATAATTTGCAAGAATCTGTTGCTCCATGCTCACAACAACACTACCCTGTATTCTTTACTCTAAGCTCTGCTCTTGTATATGGTCAGACTACCCAGAACGCGCCTGATCCCACCTAATCTTAATCAAAACTGCCATGGCAGTTCTTGGTAGTTTGCATTTTCCTATGAATTTTAGTCCTACTTTGACAAATTTCCCCCAGTATCCATTGGGATTTTGCTCTGAATTGCACTGAATCTAAAGATAAATGGGGAGAGGGGGGAAACATCATGGATCTTACGATCTGTTACCTAAACATGTCTGCCCATCTGTTAGTCTTCTTCAAGTAAGTTTTAGGTACACTTTTTTTTAAAAGCAAAGCTATGCACACAGTGTACACACTTCATAAATGTACAACTTGATTAACTTTTACAAAGTGAACATGTCTATCTGTCTACACTGAAGTGAAAAATCAAGACATGGCAGAGTGCTCCAAGACATCTTAATGTCCCTAACAAGTGCCTTCCACCTGTCTTCTGTGAATATGGTGAAAAATATGGTGTTTAAAAAGAATTTGCCAAGGGCCACCAGTGGTTTATTTATCATCGAACATGTTTCTGAGATGTGCTATCCGTCCAGATTTTTTTTAAAAAAATGTGGCTTTCCTGTTTGGTTAATAGAGAAAGCAACTGATTTCCTGGAATTAGCCCTACTGTAGAGGTAGCCTTGGCTGCTTTCAGTTTCAGTGGAACTTAAATTGTGAGAAATACCCATTCAAATAGCTTGGACTGGCTCAGCTAATTGTCTTTTTGGCTGTAAAAATACTCTGACTAGGTAATTTTAAAACATAATATCTGGAAGTGCCTGCAATTTGGAGAAAGTAAAGGAGTAACACTAATTACCAGATTCCCAGCACCTCCCATTTTATTGTTTTTCAAGAGCAGCTGTATGGCACTCAGTTTTTAAAGTCTTTCTTACAAAAAGATTGGAATCGTCTTGTTGCAGGGGCTGCCACAGTTTTTTTTCTCTCTCTCTCTTTCTTTCTTTCTTTCTTTTTTTTTGAGTACTAGAGAGCAAAACCAGGGAATTCACAATAAGCTATATCCCTAGCATTTTTTTCTCTTTATTTTGAGGCAGAATCTTGCTAAGTGACTCAATTGCTCAGGCTTGGCTCCACTTTGTGATCCTTTTACTTGAGCTTCCCAGAGTGCTGGGATTGCAAATGTGCCCCACCACACCCAGCTGCAGTCAGAACTGTTCATTTTCATTTTTTGCTGTCTTCAGTTCAATAGACCCAGTGGTTAACAACAACTGAATCATGTCACGTATTTGCTAAATACTTTTAACAGCTTCGTGTTGCATCTAGGGGTAAGTCCATCTCCACACCATGGTCTGCAATTTCTCACAATCTGGCTCCTGCAGGCTCCTTTTTAAACCCAGTTTTCTCTGCTTCACCTGAACCTTTATTCTGGGCCAACCAAATCAAGCTATTCCCCAACCTAGAATTTTCCACAAAATCCTTCTGCCTGGAACTCCTTTGACTTATCATCCCCACACCACTACATTGTACTTACTAAATTTCATCTACAGTAAATATGCTTTCCTAAAGGAATTATTTCTGACTAAGCTAAATTAGTTCTCCTTTCCATGCTTATTTATGACATTCTGTATTATTCTCCTATAATGAGTGTCAGAAATTGAAATATTAAATTTGTTGGTAGGATATTTATTGAAGTCTTACTTCTGATTTTAAAAAATCCAAGAACTATGCCTGTTCTGCTAACCATGGTATCCTCCATTCTTTCCTCACCAAGCAGCCCCTGGTTAGCAGTCAGTATATATCTACTAAATGCTAAATGAAATTGTGTATAAAAAGTGCCTCCTTCATTTTCAGTTAGCACATATGATTAAGGTTATTTGTATCCAGCCCTTTCAGCCTTATAGACAATATATAGAAATTTATTTCTCAGTGCTCAAAGCATGACTTCATGAATGTGAAACCACATTACTATTTCATCCGTTATTATCGTGATCATCAACCTGTCATGTTAGGTTTTGCTTTGATAGCTCTACAGCACCAAAGAAAGCTCTGTCTCTGTCAGGTATATATGTCACACAAAGAAGTAATAAGCTTAAGGATTTTATTTTCACTTGCTTTAATTATGAAGTAAGATTTTATCCTAATACTAATTATTTCCATAATATTATACAAAAGAAAAGATAAAAATAATTAAGTCACTTCGTGTTCTAGTAACACTTTAACTGGATAACTTGAGGTTTGCATCATTGTATAATAGAAAATGTTGCAAAATTGTAGCAATCATCCTTACCCATTGTGTTAGCTTGCTAGGTCCATTATAATATTGGAAAAAAATCCCATACTCCTTTTTTTGACTCCTTCTTCTAACATGCAAAATACATTGACCCTATAACAACATCTAGGCTTGCACTCAAATGTATTAAGTTATCCTAACATCAAGATTACATCCAAAATTTTATCTAAATGCCACCTAAAGCAGATAAGAATAAAATTACAGGTATTCATCTCACAGAAAAATTCCTCTCTAGTTATGAGCATGGGAAACCAAAATATCATGGCAAAATAGGTATCAGATAGACCTTCTCATTTTAAAAGGATGAAATCAGAAGGAAGAAAGGGTTTTTTGTCCCAGGTAAGTCAGAAACCTAGCACAATAAATTCCATTAGGTTTTATGGCTTGAGAATAATCCTTTTTGATCTCTGCTCTAACCTCTGATTTCACTGTGGTAGTAGATGTATCCTCTGAACTTATGCGGGCAGCAGCCCTTAGCACCTCAGCACATGATGCAAATTCTCCTTTTGAAATTAAGGAGGAGGTGGCTCTGATTTGTCAGCCTATGTCTCCTGGGTTTATGTGGGCAGTGTTGCCCCTAAGGCCCCTGCATTTGTAGCTCTGCCCACAAAGTCATTCTGTATTTTATCCTATCTCTCAGGGACATCTAAACTAATGTTTTCCAAATAGCTGGCACCACAATCTAGCAAAGGTGATCTAAAGTTGAGAAAATGACACGTGATTCCATTCCCAGAAGCGGAGTTCCGTTGCTACTAAGGTGCGTGATGGCATTCATGAACCATACTCTTCATATCTTTAGCAAACAGCTACAATTATTTGGACAGAGAAGAGCATAGCAGTGCTCACTACCAGAAGCAACAGTCTCAGGATGTCAACCTACTGCATGGTTTGTAGCTTTTAGGGCCCAAGAAAGCTGTGACTCACCTGGGCACTGAGTGGAACACCAGTTTCCTCATATGTGTAGAACCACCTGAAAGAGTCTCTTTGAAAGAAGAGCAATTATTTCCGTTTTGGCTAAACTTGACCCTATTTCCATGTATTGATACATCAGAGCTGGCTAGGAAAAGTCCCTATCCCTTCACTTGGCTTTAGCAATGCATATCAGTCCAGCTGAGGTGCTGATGTGTAGCCTTTGAAGCAAGGTGACAGGGCAGTGTTTCCTCACCTCTATAGTTCCCAAAAAACATGTGTGAACTGCGCAGGATGGATAGCTGTGCTCCATGCTGTTGGCTGGGATTGAGCCTCCAGATAAGAAATTATGACTTCTCAGGGAATCAGAGCTGAAGTACCAACCCCCAAACATTAGATACTACCTCAGTTGTGCTACGCAGATTATTCTTTTTGCATATCCTTCTCCTGCATCTTGCAGAGGTGATTTCAGGCCTCCTACCTAGCCCAGCTCACAGCACTCCACTACTCACAATCTTGCCAGTCTCACAGTCACTCATCCTCAAGCCACTCCCTTCTTCACGAATTGACAAAACCCAGGTTTGGCCCTGGATTGAGGCCTTTGTTCCAGTTAGCCATTCTCCTAGCTGGACTTGGACCCCTTGGCTCCCCACAACTATAGATATGCCTTAGTGTCTTTATTCTCGCCATAGGTTGCACTGGAAATGGTAGATTAGAATTACTTGCTAAAATTCCGATAACTTTTCCATAGGATTACAAATGTAAACTTCCTGGACCACGATGAGAACCGAGAAGGCTCTCAATGCTCACAGAAATGAGACAAAGCAAGGTCGGCAGCAATAGTGAGCATTGGCTGACCATGGCCAGCAGTCTTCGCTCTGGAACCATCATACAGCTATGAAATGCACGCACCCTCTTGTGCTGAAGGGGAAGGAGCCCATTCCCTCCCTTACACACAGCGAGCCTGGGTTATTCGGGTGCCATGTGCCGCACACTGGCTAAGTAGAACTGATAAGCACTCATTAATCTTGAGGCAGGGAAATTCTCAAACATGACAATGTTCCCAGCACAGATTGGGAGGGGTCCTTGTTTCCCTGAAAGGAAATGTTTCACACCCAAGGCCATTCTTGTGTTGTCCTGAGGGATCAAAAGACTGCCCACACAAGTCTGCCTTTGCCAACAGCCTGCCCTTTTCCTAAACCTTCTGGATGCTGAAATGACAGATAAAACACATGGAATTTGGCAGTACAACTGCCTGCCTCAGATCTGGAGGTGGAGTCAGGTCTGACTTTGAAGCGGCCGCTGAAAAAGCCATATGTATTGTACTTTGCTTTCAAACTTCCCTGCCATTTTGAGATAACACATTGCACTTTGCCAGGGACAACACATCATCAGCGACAATGGGAAATGTAGCTCCAGGAAGATAATCAGGTTTCCCTGGAGGGTTGTCCTAGCCAGGAACCCCAAGTGCCTAGATTAAACCAACTGTAGTGTGGAGGGAGGAAATGGAATGAGATATACAACTGATAAGATTTTAGCAGAGCAAGAGGGTTCCACAGTTCAGATTCTCATTGTCTATATTAAGGACATGTTCATAGTTTCTTAGTTTTCTGTTCTTAATAATACAATAGCACAGACAGACTGGGTTATAAAGACATGAGGTTTACCTTGGTTCACAGTTGTGGTCCAAGGTCAAGGGGACACATCCAGTGATTGCTTTTGATGGCAGACTCTGGGCTGTGCAAGGCACTGCATGATGAGAAATAAGTCAGGCCTGTGTGTATTCTTAGCTCTTTCCCTCTTCTTATAAAGCTAGAAGTACTGAGTCATGGGGGCCCCAAACTGCTGGTCTTATCCAACCCTAAGGACCTCCCCAAGCCCCTTTACTAAGTACCATAATTAGATTAAGTTTTTAATCTCTAACTGCTCACAATGAGTATTAGATTGCATCATGAGTTTCTCAAAAGATAAACAGTATTTAAACCACAGCACATAGCAGGATTTGTTGGCAATGTGATCCTTCACAGCCAGCACATAACTGAGGAGTATTCTGCTATCTACTACTACTTTGGGTAATAAGTTTAAAGTCTTGTTGGTAATGAAGTTTGAGATACTCCAAGTTGTTATACATGGACTGAGCTCTTACAATGAAAGTGTGAGACAAGAGAAACTTTAGTCTGGTGTGACAAATCCATTGTTGCTTAAGTTCACCTTGCTCTGCATAGCTGTGCTAATCCTCATCTGGATATTCCGTGTCTGCATGGCAGAGGTTTCTACAGGAAGAAAAATAGGGAGAGCAAGTTCTTCTCCATAACTCTCTTGATCCATGATCTTGAGAGAACAGGTACTCTTGTCCACTGACCCACGAAGGATTGCTTGGTTATAACCACCCAGGCTGTCTGAGCCCTACTGTGGGAACAGTTTTCCAATTTCTTGACCAAACCTTTTTGTCCTCAATGGTCCAATTCAGGACCAAGTTAAATACATTTGACACAGTCCCTAACATCACCCAGATATACTGAGGGGTCAGAAATGTTCAGGCATTATCAGGGGAATTTTCATACCTTGATATTCTGTCATCTCTTTCTTCCCCCTCATTGAGAGGCACCAGAAAGTTTCATGGCCCCAAGTTTGAAATGGGCAACCATATTATAGTGCCACTGTAGCCCAGACAATAAACCATCCCTAGAAAGGATATTCAAGTGGGGAAATGAGATAAGCAATGGTGGAGTACACTAAGATTGGGATTTGGGAAGCGCAACCTAATTATACTGCCTGACCTTCTACTGCCTCCAAGCTCAATATTTCCCAGCAGGTATTGCAGTTCCTCTTATCAGCTGTCTCAGTTACTTTTTCTCATTGCTGAGACAAAATACCTGACCCTGAAAGTTAAAGGAGAGAATGTTAATTTAGCTTACAGTTTGTAGGCTTTCAATTCATAGTTGACTGGCTTCCAGGCAGGGTGGCATGGCAGAGAGGAATCATAGAGGATAAATAGTTCACAGTATAGAAGGCAGAAGACACAAGGCCACAAAAGCAGCCAGCAACAAGTGAGCATAGCAGCCCTCTTTCTATCCCTAATATCTTATCCAAGGTATATGATTTTAGAGCAGGTAGCACTCACACCTTCCCACTATGCAAACTCAGAAGTGGGCTGAAACAATCAGTTAACTAATTTAGTAATCACACATCCTACTCCCAGCATTGCACACTTAATCCCAGCATCACACACTATAGATCTAGCCACCTCTGAAAAGCCCCACCTATGAGCACATGAGCCTTCAGAAGAACATCTAAGCACAAGCCATAACATCATCCAAGTGGGTTTTGTTGAGGGCAAACTATCCAGTATTCCAATCTGATGGTCTTTATGTAGTTATTGCTTGAGCCACCCATCTTATCATTTCACTGGGCATAACAGAGAACACAAGGGTGCATTTTATGCCATGGGAATGTATACATTGCTATGTAGCTTGTGCCATAAAAGGTGTACTTCAATAGACTGAATCCTGCTCTATATCTAAAGTCATGGTCGAGGTATTTTTTTGCAATAGTGATTCCTGTGTCTGCATGATACAGTGGAATAGTGGTCCCATATCCAGATGTCAGTGGTGATGGGGCACCATCAGAATCCATGGCTGGAAATTCATAGTTTATTGTGATCAGTTTGTCACCTTTGTGTGAAATAAGCTCTGGTTACTGTGGGTTAGTTCACCATATTGCACAATTAGGTTTCCTCCAAAATTACTACAGCTGTGCCATTCCTCTGGCTTCTGTTATTTCTAGGGCAAGTCTTCATGACCCATTCTGTTCTTCAGATGAATTAAGCTTCTTAGTTCTGTTCTGTTGTCAACCACAATGAAAAATCAAGGCAATTTGGTGAGCTTTTGCTACATTAGCTCCTGAGGTAATTTATGTGTCAAAAATCCAATGGACTGATGCACTCAAGTTGTAGTCCTTTGTTGTTATAGGCTCCAGTTACAAGGATAGATGTGATTCAGACTTGAATTACCTGAGATTGTTGGACTCCATAGGCCCATGCTAGTATATGGTACATGACTTCTAGAGCCTACCATTTGTGGAAACTCAATACAGAGGTAGCCTTTTTGCAGGTGACTTTAACTAAGGGGCCCAAATATCTTCCAGTTACAGTACATATTGCCATTCATAGCCAAAACAAGCTTACTACCTGCTGAGATTGATTAGTGTTGGTGGGAGTTGCCAAGATCAGCAATTCTTGTTTTACTGTTAGGAACATTCTTCTGTTTACTGATCCAGGTGGCTCCCAGGAACTACATTTGTTGAGCAAATCCCTGAACATCATCAGGTTTGGATTTGAAGTTCTAACCCTGCCTACTAATGTCATATTGCAGGAGAATTGCGTTATCTCACTGAAAGTGTAATGTTGAATAAATGTAACTTAGTCCTGACCTTCATCTCACAAAGAGATGGAAAAGACATTTTCTAGATCTACAGATGACAGCACACTGGCTCATGAAACAGAGGCTAGCAAATAATGATTCAGGAAACTAATTTGGTCCAGTCCAAAGGTCAGCTCACATGGTGGGTGGGGCATGTCTGTGATCCAAATAAAAGATTAATTTGCCAGAAAATGTACTTCCAACCTGACCCAAAATGGCTTCCTGCTTTCATTTTAAGTGCTTGGAAGCAGTACTACTCATTCTTGGTGTTCTTCCATTCTTGGTGTTCTTCCTTGAGAATTTATAAAAGGAACTCCTATCCTCATAAAAACATATTTTTAAGTGAGAACACACTAAGTTTATAAAAATATTAGAGGTGAATGGCCTTGAATGTACAGATTGGATATTTCCTTTTTTGTGACTTTCAGTGATAGTCTTTATTTTTTTCCTAGATAATTTTTTCCTCTAGTACAGAATTGGTCTTTTTCTTTATTCATCCTCTTAAACCATCTTACCACAACTTTTTATTTTTATGGAATCTAAAAGGAAACAATGTAAATTTTCTGGTCTGTATTATGCTTTTTGCAGTTGATCAGCTCTGTTGTGACGTGGAAGCCATCATAGATAATATGTACACGAATGAGCATGATTGTGTTCTGATAAAACTTTTTATTTCTAACAACAGGAGGCAGAAAAAATGGACCTTCAAGCCAGGGTCTGCGAATCCCTATTATACATTGTTACTCGGTCTTTCCTTTAAAATAAGTAATAAAAACTAGTATTCATTCTATTTAATATATGAAGTACTAATACTCTTGGTAGGTACTTTTTATTTTCAAAACTTTTTAGTGAAACTAAAACATTCATATATCACTAATAGATAACAACACAGTCCTACTTTCTGTTGTTTTTAAGAGACTTCATTTAAAATCCTGATTTCAGGCTATTCCAAATCAAATTTAATATACCATCAGAAATATAGCAAATTAGAGATACTAACTTAGAGATATCATCAGGAATATTGTAGATTAGAGATATTAACAAATTGTTCCAGGGCTTGTCCAGTCCAAGAAGTTTTGTCACTTGTAGTAGTCTCAATCAGATTTCTCAGATGATTTGTCTCTGTTTTCATCTCTTCAGATTTTTTTCTTAAATCCTTCTTTAATCAGATACTCTTGTATCTAAAATAAAGTGGTTCATGGTCATGAGAAAGAAATAGCTTTTAAATATCCAGTATTTCAAGTGTTAGGTTTATATTTAAGAATTTTGTTGAATTCTATTTTCTGCATATTCTTTCCAACACATAATATTTGAAGCAGAGAATATCTTCTTGGCTGGACCTGGACAATGGGAAGAAGTAGAGTTTACAGCTTTATTCATATGCTGATCTTCACCCACCATGAGGTTTTCCCTGGGTGCTAAGCCAAGCATTTAAACAAGTTATAAAGTTCCAACAAAAATTCCAGTTGGGAGGGATTCACCAGCTCACAAATTTTTAGTCCCACTGGGAATTGGGCTTATAGTATGGTCATAAAATCTGATATAAATACTTTCAGATGACTAAATGGATAACTTCTTCCAAAAATTTTTGAGAGACATGGGCAGATTATTCAAATCTAGATATATCTGGACCAAATTAGGAGGCATTAGTTACTTTTATTTCTAAATCTGTATGTCTGGTAGTTTGAGTCACCAAGAAGCCTAGGTCAGGACCTTTGTTGATAGCAGGGCTCCTGATAATTGTTAGTGACCTTGAAAACATCCTGTTGCTGCTTTTATTAAATACTCTTGGGTGGAATAATTATACTATAATCTGTGAAACCCTGTTTAAGTTAAACCCCATTAGCTCAGCAGAGAACTATCAAAACAGCAACTCAATTCTTGAAGAAGTTATTACTATTCTTCAACGTCGTAGGAAACCTGAAGTCATTGTGCACTCCTCACAGTTTCAAAGTACTGCAAAACTAAAGGCTTCTGAAAAAGCCAGGATCCTTCATCCATGTGAATCAAAGGCAGTAAGTGGCAGCGATGCTTGCCTTTGTCACTCTATTTTAACCTTCTGTAATTCCTTCATAAGGTACCAAATCAACCACTCATCAGGAATTATAGGGATCACTACCAAACTCGCCTTCAGCGTGTGCTCTAAAATCCCTACAAGTCTCTCAGAAGGTGTTGCTGATTCCCTTCTAGCCTCCCTCTCAGTTGGTCGGTTTTCTTTGAGACTCATCTGGAGTGCCGCCATCTGTTGCTACTGCTCATTCTGCTTATGCCTTAACAGCTTCTGTTCCTTCTTAGCTGCTTCACTTCTGACTTTCTCAGCCACCCAAGGTAAGTTTTAGAGACAGAAAAAAGGCGTGAGCTCGACTCTTCTGAGATCAGAGACCAAACCAAACATAAAATATTTAAACTCATGAGAACAGAAAGTATAATGAGGGCTGTGAATAAGTAAGGGAAAGAAAAGTGGGCAGTTGTTCATTAAGAGTACCAAGTTTCAGTTATGCAAATGAGTAAGTTATGGATATCTACTACAGAGCATAGGACCTGTAGGTAACAATACTGGGTCACTTGTTTTAAACTTATTAAGACATGTATCTTATGAGAGAGATTCTTACCAAAAAAAAAAAAAGAAAGAAAAGCTCAGAACTGGTAGAAAGGAAAGGAAAATTTGGAATAGAAGAGTGCTTTTAGGGTATATTCTCTGTTTTGACTGTGGTAATGTCTACCTGACTATATTCGTTTTTCAAAAATGTATTACATGCTGAAAATAAATGAATTTCATCACATACAAATAATATATTAAGATAACCATTTACAAAAGAAATAATATATACCCATTGATGGCATTCACATAG